GCTCTAGAGGACCCCCGCCGAGGACGTCCTTGTCGTAGACGTCGCCCATCCAGAACCTGGGCAGGAAGAGGGTGATTCGACGTCGCTTCGGCGAGAGCGTTTCGCGCGCGCAAGTTTCCAGAAAAAAGCATCCACGCTTCAAAATCGTTCCGAGAGATGATCGCTCGTCCCAAAATCAGCCGAAACGAGTTAGAAAGCGGCCGAGATGGGAAGTCGGGAATTTCGTGCGCTTTTCCCGCGCCGTCCGGAACCAGCAGAGGCACGCGACGCTCAGCGAGAGGCCGTAGGCCAGCAGGCCGAAGGCGTTCATGGCCGTCGTCTCGAGGACCATGGCGTCGACGCCGGCCTTGCGCACGAGCTTCGCCGTGCGCTTGCCGGATGACCAGAGCGCGTCGCCCGTGATGACGTGGAAGATGAGCGCGAACTTCGTCAGGAGGCGCAGGCACGAGTAGACGCAGCACTTGAGCAGCACGGCGACGTAGAAGAAGGGGCTCGCGAAGTTCCAGCAGGAGACCTTGGCCTTCTTGCGGAGCCAGGCGATGAACTCGAAGACGAGCGCGATCTTCGACGTCGTGCCGCTGCTCGTCGTCAGCGCGAGCTTCGCGAGCGTGCAGGGCAGCGTCGATAACGACGCCGCCGCGTCGCCCTCGGGGGCCGTCGCGTCGAAGTGGTGCTGGGCGACGCAGCCGGAGACGAAGAACATGAGCGTCGTCGACGCCCAGTACCACGTCCAGCACCAGACGACGTAGCACCAGCCCAGGGCGTTGTTCGCCGCGTCGCTCGCGACGAACTCGCACTCGGACCACTCGCCGATAACGGTGTAGCCCGCCTCGATGTCGTGCTTCGTCTCCTCGAGCTTGCTGTGGTTCCCCGCAGCGGAAGCGACGAGGATCAGCACGAGGATCAGCACCGCGGACACGGCGAGCCACGCGAAGACGAAGCCCAGGAGCGACGGCATCAGCAGCAGCGAGTGCGCCGCCGCGGCCACGGTCTCCGCGGCCGACGCGATGCGCGCGCGGACGTAGAAGACGTAGGCGGCGAGGAGCACGCCGAAAATAAGAAACATGATCGCCGTCGACGTCGCCTCGGACGCCCGCGCGAAGTCGTAGATGCCGAGCCCCAGCAGGAAGCCGATCTCGAGGAAGTAGGCCCCGAAGAGCACCGTCTTCGCGAATTGCTCCATGAGCTTGACGAAGGATAGGCAGAGCACCATGACGACGCAGACGAGCGTCACGGGGATCTCCGGGTGGAGGCCGAAGCCCTCCCAGATGTTGTCGGGCCTGGGCTTCTTCTTGTCGCCGAGGCGCCGCGATTCGAGGCGCCGGCCCGCGGGGGACCACTGGCCCGCGTCGTACATCTCGTAGCAGACCGTCGACTCCTTCCAGTAGTCGCCCCCCGCGTTGTCGCAGCAGGCCTTGGCGTCCGAGAGGTAGTGGTCCGACACGCCGTCGATCTCGCCGCTCTTGTCGAGGTCGTAGCGCGCGTGGCCGCCGATCCCGAGCCAGATGCTCGTACCGACGAAGGAGAGGACGCAGAGCCAGAAGAAGACCTTGAAACAATTGTCCGTGCTCTTGCGGTCGTCGATCTTCACGCGGCGCTCGATGGTGCCGAGCTCGTAGGCGTCGGCGAACGCCATCTCGTCGTCTTTGCGGGGGCCCGCGGTGGCGGCCATGGCTTCCAGTCGTCTACAGTCGGGCTGCCCAGAATCTCGATCGAGATGAATGGACGGCAGCGTTGTCGCAGGTGCAACACTGACTCGCACGGGCGCGGCGGTGTCGAGGCGAGTACTCGCGAGGCGATTTTGCGAGGCGTGATCTCGACGCGAGTCGAGCACCACTAGCGACCCGTTGTGCGCAATGGCCGCAACCCGGGATCAGAGCCGGCCACCCAAGATCCCCGTGGCGCAATTGGCCCCGGGCGTCGTCGCACCCGGCGTAGAATGGCTCCATCTTCAGGCCAAAGACGGCCTGAGAGCCATTGAAACATGGCTGGCGATGGGCGCGTTTCCGGTCGGAAATATCGATGCCCCGGACGGATGTGCAGGGGAAAGTCTTCTCATGGAAGCGGCTGAATTCGGAAACCTCGGCGCCGCGCGTCTCCTCCTTGAAAACGGCGCCGACGTGAATCGTCGTCAGATGGACGAAGGCTCTGACTTTCTGAGAAAATACCCGGGCGCAGGCGAACAGCCGATCCATTTCGCGGTTGCTCAGTTGCGGGAGTCGGAACGAGCCAATGCCCGGGGGCGCAGAGCCAATCACGAAATGGTGGAATTGCTACTCGACGCGGGCGCAGACGTGGATGCTTTGACGTTTTCCACCGATCTCCTCGAGAGAAGATCTATCGGCCAGACCCCGCTCATGTGCGCGACCGGACATACCGAGATTGAAACCGTGGTGGCGCTACTCCGCCGCGGCGCGTCGCTCGACGTTCGCGACAGCTGGGGCCACGACGTCCATCAAGCTCTGGAAGCCCACGCGTACATCTATGAACAATGCGAATACAGCACCGAATTTCGTCAACACCTAGACGTGGTCCGCGATTTCATCGCGCAGGTCCACCGGTCCGGCAGCTGGGCCAAGTATGTCAAGGCGCACGAGCGCGTCCTCTTGCTCCGCGTGCTCTGCGAACGAGGCCGCGCGACTCCCCTCCCGGCGACCCCGCCGCATCTCTCGCGCCTCTTCGAAGTTGCGTGCCCCCGCGACGTACTCCAGCTGGTGCTGGAGTACTGGCGGTACCAGCGCTAGCCGCGAGTAACTCCGACAGTAAGGCCAAAACCCCGGTTCCGCTTTAGCTCGCGACGGACTGGAGCCAGGGCGGCTTGGGCACCGCGCCGAGGGGCTGGCCCCCCGGCTTCGGCGGCGCCGGCGGGTGGTAGCAGAGGGCGATGCGGCTGACGTAGCCCGCGACGGGCGCGACGATGCGGAGGCGCTCCTTGCCGTCGACGACGAGGGGCGGGCCCGGCGCGATGACGACCGTCGCGTCGCGCGGCAGCGTCGCGACGTGCGCGCTCGCGAGGGACGCGCCGGACCGCACGACGGCGCCCTTGCCCTGGACCGTCATCTCCCGGCGCCGCGGGATCGGCAGGTCGTCCGCGGCGACGTCCTGGTCCACCGTCGCCGGGAGGTCCTTGGCCGTCGACGCGTCGCGCTTCGATTTGTGCAGGTGGAACCACCAGTTGATGATCATGTTGCGGCCGCGGCCGCCCTCGACGCAGTGGTACCAGAAGGCGGGCAGGAACAGCAGGTCGCCGGCCTTGACCTCGACCTCGATGGCCACCGCGTCCGCGTACTTCGGGAAGCGCCCCGTCGACGGGTCGTCGGCCTTGAGGAACGGGGGCACGCCGCTGTGGGAGAAGGAGGGGAAGGGCCAGGGGTAGAGGCTCTCCGCGTCGCTCGGCGGCCACAGCCAGAGCTTCTTCGTGCCGTCGACGACCAGCATCAAGTTGTCGAAGGGGTCGAAGTGCGTCTTCGTCGTGTTGCGCCCCCCGCCGAAGTACATGATGACGCCCATCTCCGTCACGTCGCCGAAGAGCGCGCCGTACTTGATCCGGGGGTTCGTCGGCGAGTCGGCGAGTTCCGCGTGCATCTCCGGCAGGAACTTGCGGAGCTCGATCTTGCCCGTGTACTGCCTCGGCGGCTCGCCCCGGGCGCGCGAGGCCGCGCAGGCGTCGATGTAGGTCCCGAACTTGCCCATGTGCGCGCCGCCCTCGATGAAGACGTGGCGGCCGGCGCCGTCGGGGATGCAGGTTGTTCGTACCAAGACATCTCGATGACCACAAATACGCTTGAGGTGGTCGTCGTCCCGAAAGGTCTGGAGGCAGGGCATGTCCTCGAAGGCCCGCTCGACGACGCAGGGCGTGTTCGTCGCGACGTACTTCCAGAGCTCGTCGTCGCTCGGATTCGCGAGGCGCTCCACGGCGCGGAGCCGCGCGGGCGCGGCGACGTTCGGCGGCCGGCTCCAGAGGCGCACGGGCAGCCCGGACCGCCCGAGCTCCGCGTGGACCTTCAAGACCGCGATGAACGCGTCGTCGTCGATGGTCCGCCGGATGACGGCGCGCGCCTCGCGCGACGTGCCCTCGCGGCAGGCGGAGTTGCTGTCGAGGGACAACAGGATGTTCTTCACGAGGTCGCCGGCGATCTCGTCGCTGCATCGC